GATAGAGAAAACAAATATGTGATAGAGGGGAAAAAATGGTCTTTATGTTTTTTTTTGGGGGGGGGGGGGGGGGAAGGAAGAAAAAAATCATAAGGATTTATGAAAATGTGCCTTGCATCAGTCGATATTAGAAACCAAAAGTAGAACAGATTTAGTGTGGGTCATTGTACTCCTGCCTCTGAAAGCACAGTGTTGGTCCCTACTCTATAACCACAAATGATTTGTTTGTTCGAGTTTTGAATGACTCAGCCGCTGTAAGCCTGTCACCTCCTTTGGGAGACATCCTACAATTTAATAGTTCTGGGTAGACTTCTCACTTTTTGTGGAAAAGGAAGAGAGTGATGCTAGGAAAGATGATGAAATAAAAGCGTAGAAAATGCGCACCAACGGGAGCAGGCCTAGGATTTGTTTGGGACCGAAGATTCAGCCTTCGTTTCTGCCAGTCACTGGAAACCTGAACAGCACAGAAGATTTGGGAAAGGATTTGCTGCTGCAAGAAGTAACCAGAAAGGAACTGCCACAGTAGATCAGAGTAGTCATGTGTCCAGGCTCTAGCTGTAGCCAATGTCAGATGCTTCAGGAGAAGATTTAGCAAGCCATTTTGGAATAACCAGCCTGTAAGGGAGTTTTCTTCCAAAACCTATGTCAAAAGGTAGATGCTTGGATCCTTCAGTCTTCATGGTTTATATACCTTGTACTCTTTGAGCTTAAGCATAACAGTACACATTCTTATTGCTTGTGCAGTCTCCTGACTTCAGAAGCTTGCTAGAGTTGCATGGTACGGCCCAGAGAAGAGGAGTGGACTAAGTAGACTTCCAAACTTGTATACTTCTTCAAAACTTTTTTGAGTATCTTGATTTCAGCAATGTATCACTGAAAGATAGGGTAGAGCATTCCAGAGGTTAATTAGGTATCATGCAGAAAGATATTTCCCTTGTCCGATTTGAATTTCTTGTCTCTGAGTTCTGTTGGAAGTGCTTCTTCTGTTATGAGGAAGAGCACTGGGAGCTCTTCAGCCATTTTATGCCATGCGTTATTATTCTGTGTCCTCTCATTCACTGCTCTTGAGAAGTTACACAGTCCCTCATCTAGTAGTTCCTGTTGCCAGAACATGTAGTACTGGTTGTTGTTTGGCTGCCCATTTCCCTGAAGGACTCAACTTGGGCAGGAAATGGGTGGAGACTCTCAGACTTTGGGCCACAATGTGCCGCCAAGCCGTGATGCCTGTGCAGACTATTCAGACTCCTGTAGCTGAGAGCAGCCATCAGGAAGAAGCAACCATTTTCTGCAACATGTCTCCCACTGCAAAATCTTTCGAGTGTCATGGTTATCTGCCATTATATCCACGTTTTGAGCTTGCTTCTACCAGGACTAAGTTTTACACGTGCTGTTGTAACAGCTGCATTACTCAAAGTGACAGATAGAGCGTACATAAACCACAAGGTTCTGACAGTTTTTTGTAGTTACTTTTCCTCATTAACAAAAGATCTATAGCCAAAGAATAAATGTACGTGTATCTTCTCTGCATAGTTTTCAGTTCCTCCTGATTACTTTGATAGGAGAGATATGCAACATCTACTGTATACTAGAAGTGAAAAACAGCTACAGAGTCAAATTTTTGACAGATTTGTTAAAACGAAGCAATATTGTGTGTTTTCAAATAGTTTTTTCTGATTTCTACACCAGCTGGTTGAAAATTTCCGAAAATCACCACTTCTTTTAACAGACATTTTAATTTGAATACAATGTGTGAATATTTCCATTCCTTCTTTTCTTACCAGTTCTAACAAATGGTTAAATGAGCTCGATGACCTGTAATTCATTCATCTTTGAAAACACACGGTTATGTCTACATGGGCTGCCATGGAACCAAGACACAGGGAGGTTCAAGTTAATTTTATCTTCTCAAAAGTAGCCGGTCCAGTTTTAGCTTAAACTTTTTCTCCTCCATTTATTTTTATCTAAACGACCCATTTTTTATACCTGTTCAATAACAGGGCCTTAAATTGGATCTAGATTTGCACTCCTAAGTAAATCTTAATGCATGCTCCCCTGTGCTTATCTAATAATGAGGTTGGGCAGGAATAATGACTACCAGAATTGCAACGTTGAAGACCTTCATTAACATTAGTAATCAGCAATCTTGTGTGGAAGGTTTATGCCTACAGTTGATCAGCCCTTTATTGTGTGGTGTTAAGATAGCTTGTATAGAAGCAGGAACGAACCCACTAAGAAAGGCCATCAGGTGAGGTTTCCATGGCAGCAATCGTCCCTTTGCTGCTCCCGTTTGTGGTATAGACAATGCAGGAATAATGAGTGTGTCACTGCTCAGTGGAGAGAAGGCTAATATTACTCCATCCCAATGTAGCAAGCGGCATGGTACATCTCATTTTAAGGAAGATGAGGGCGGCCGATCAGGTGGGTTTGTGACCATTGTCTCCCGAGTGGTGCTTGGTACCTCTTGCGCTCAAAGCGTGAATTCCTACGGCGTGGCTGCACCGGGGACAGGCGTACAACAGCTACGCTGAACGCAAGAGCAGTATCACCAAGCAATGAGTGGGCTCCCGTGCTGGGCAGCAGAGAGCAGAGTGCATGAGCTGTACTCAAAGGCTCTGAACTAACCAGAGGTCGCTGACATTTGGGAGCTCAACAGTGACTCATTGGCTGGATTTAGAAAAAATTTCCTCTTTCCAGCATAAATGCATTCTAGTAAATGCCACTTCTACTTGGTTCATGAAGTTGGCTACGTCGGTGCAGTTTAGAAGGTCCTTTGAAAAGTCCCTCTGTAAAGGTGCTGGGCAGTTTCACCACACCAGAGAAAACAAGTGAAAAAGAAGCACTGGCTGTTTTTTCAAGCTTTTTTCTTGGAGCTTGTTTTTCACAGAATGATCATGAAACGAAAGCGAATGAAACTGAAAAACGTTAGGCAATAATAGACACTCCCTGCTAAGCCAACCTGAGAATAGAGGACATCCCATTACCTTCTACCCACCTGTCCCATCTTTTTCTTCAATCAAGAGGAAGATGGTACCCCCTGTTACCATGGGTTACGCAGGAACCCTTTATTTTTTCACGGATACCTTTATCTTGCCAGGTTAATTCTGGCACAGAAGAATGTTGTGGAAAATAACTGTAAAGTACAGAGATCATTTTCCATATGTGAAATCATTTGGAGAAAGGGTTTTTAATCTGCATTTAGATCATGCAGATTAATTTACTGACACGTGTAAATTCCTACATGAAGTGTCCAACTGTTAAGGGTTTGGCTGTAATAAAAGCTTTTCTAAGGAGGAGGGAAGCTATGACAACCATGTACATTTCCAGGGTGATGGAGAATCGTTAAACAGGGATTCTGTACCCTCTGTGTGACAGGCATTTATGGTGACAGTTTTGGGTGGACTTCTGTGTCTCTGCCCTTCAGGAGCCTATGACTGTTGATCTAGTGATCAAAAGTCTTCCTTAAACAAATAGAACTATCAGCAAGTGAAGCAAATGATATGGACATGGAAATCCCCATCAATAATAGTCTGTGCAGCTGCTGAGTCTTCTCTAGCTGTGCCTCACTGTGAGCTTCTCTCTCAAATTGCCGGGTCAGAAAGGAAGAGATTTACATTCTTGAAGAGAGCCCAGCAGCTCACGGGCCCCAGCCTGTCTCCACTGAGCTCTTTTCCCGGTTAGCCTCCGTGGTGTTTGCTCAGTTGTTTGGCAGCATTTGCCTTTCTTAGCTTCCACCTACTGGAACATATGGACTCGCTCTCCTTCCCCTGACTTCACCACTCACCACGTCAGATCTCAACACAAAAGCTATCCCTTCAGAGGGTACAGGTGTCCGTCGCAGTCACACACAGCGAAACCACGTACCTGGAGTGCTTCTTCAGCTTGCGCTGCAGGAAAGCTGACACCCTGTCTCTTGGGTGAGCGTACCAACAATCTCCACTGTAGCTGAATGCTAAAAATCTCTGTGTCACCAGCAAACCACCATCATTCCTTTTCCTTTCCTGTATATTGAGTGTGGAGCTGGGCAGAATTTCACTGATAAGGTGGCTTCTTTTTTTTTTTTTAATGTTTATCCTACCTAGAGAAAAATTATTAGATCCCAAATGATACCAGGTAACTGAAAGAAAAGGAAGAGCAACCTAAAACACAGGTGCTGAAGAAATTATTCTCTCAAGGAGAATCTGAACCATATGTTTCTGGCAAACCCCAAAACTGATGCACTTGCCAGGTGTAGTGAGCAGAAGCAGCAGAAACACACAAATATGTACAAAATGAAAGAAGGATGCTGCAGAAAGCAGAGAGTTGGGCTATACAGAAGAGCTGGAGAACCCTGGCTGCTCTTCGGATAAAGAACCCACTTGGAACAGAGGGTGCTGCAGTTCCCACGCTGCCACACGAAACAGGGGTGTGCATTCCTCGTAAATATAAATGCAGCAAGGAAATACCTGCCTGCATCAGAACATGAAAATTGGCCAACTACTCATATTAAATTTAAAACAAAGCAGTGAGAATCTGGGAAATCAGTCATAGATTCATCATTGGTGATGTCTGTTCTGGGTGGATGTCATCCAACTTCTCCAGTTCAGTTGCAACTTGCAGTCCTTTCAAATAATTGCTTTTCAGGTTATAGTAGCTGAGCCTATAGCCCAAGCTACTTTTGAAAAACAGGGCTGTAAGAGTCAGTACTTGTTATTTTTGTTTTGTTTCAGGGTGTGCTGGATTCACCACGTTACAGGAGTGTGGGTGTACCCGCTTCTTGAGCACCTCAGCCCAGGTGTCAAAATAATCTTTTTTGCAGCTGTTACTGTAATAATTAACATATTCTACTTGGTGGGAGAGGTCCTGAACAACTACATCTGGGATACCCAAAAATGTGAGTATTGTTTTAGGAATATTAACTCATTAAATACACCATCGGGACTTGAGTATGTTACCCTGAAAGTTGAGAAAGTTTTAAGCTGGCTAAAACAAAGGAGAATGACAGAAGTTCCACTGAAACGTCTTGCTTGCTTGCTTGCTCTTAAAAGCAGCCAGATGAACGGAATGGCTGCTGGAGAGCATGATGAGCTATGAATATGTATTCTTTTTTATAACTTCCAATACTAATTTAAGAGCTGTTGGCAATTACCTGAGAGGTTTACAACCACTTATTAGCTGATGAACCCATTAAATGCAGCTAGAACAAAGTATCATTTTGTGGGAATGCTGTTAATGGTAAGCTTAGACTTAGAAATGAAAATATATTCTTTTAGTATTTTCAGGTATAAAGTGTTTTCTGCTCATAAATTTACTCAAGGAAAATGAATATGTTCACGTCAGTAAAATAATAGGAATGAAAGATCACCTTAGTGCAAGGTAGACATAACTGTGCAGACTCTACATCATCTACCTTGCCTAGGCCACCCATTGCTGAGTAGAGGAAAAGGGAAAATAAGACAAACACAAGATTAAAAGTAGATTCCTTTAATATATGAAAGATGTTTTTCTTTTACCAAATTGCCTGAAATAAGCAAACAACATTCATAATCGCTGCAGTGGCAAATCACAACTGGAGTGAAATCCATGCTCCGTGGGAATTTTGCCATTACATTCGTTGGGCCTATAACAAGTTGGGACTGTATGAACAGCCTGTATCCCCTTTTGGGAAACTTAGTGTGCACTGGTTAATACACCGCAGATTCACATGGTAGTTTATTGCACACACAAATCTCTTTTAACAAGTCCTCCAGTACTAGGTAGAACCTAATGCCAGAAGCTCAAAGCAGTTTTGCTTGCCGTTTGTTCATATTAACACCCAGGTATAAAGGGTCTTTTTGGTTTTGCTCTAGAACCAGCGATGATTGGTCACAGTGTTCAAGTTTGGTTTTCAGTCCTCAGTTTGATGTCACATTACACCTGTTTAACTTATTTAAGTTATTGCAGGAAAGACGTTTCTAAAAAAGGCAGCCACAAGGAATAATTTCACTTGACTTACGTCCCATATGAAGAATAATAATGTGGTGAAGAATCACATGTTCTTACCAAGTCCATGAATAAGCAAATGGTGGAAAATCTCCCTCGCTGTTCCACAGTATGCATAACAAAATCCCTGGTTCTTGTGGCCCTCCAACCTAGAGGAGCTAACATCAATCGGGTCATTTGTCCAACCTCTTCCAAGGTTCACCATGGCTTTATTATCCTCTCCATCATTTCCTTGATTTGGTTAAAGAATATTGATCCAAAGTCCTTTGTGGCTCAAGCACTGGCAAACCAGAAAATGCCATGAGTCACCTGCTGGTTTGCTGTGCTTGAAACACTTTGCATAAACCTAACCCAAAGCGTATGGCAGGCATACTACAAACAGGAGAGATGTAAAATAATGCCGGTCTGTCACCACGTGAGACTTGGGAAAATATTATTTGAAAGGGGCTTTTGAGCAGTAAGCTTGCAAATTAAAGCAATCCGCCATGAGAAGATTTCTGGGGTGAGAGGGGGTTGTTTTGGGCTTGCAGTTTTTTTCCTTTTCCTCTGGAGATGCATTAAATAAAACCTCACTACTGACAAAATGATTTGCAGTTAGTTTTTCCAAGTTAAACCACAAACATGGTAGGCAAGGAAAAATTTGCCCTTTGTACAAGCCAGTGTCTGTCCACAGTTTTGAGGTTATCTGCATCCCTGCCAAACTATTCGATGCATCTGCAGTAGAGTGCTTCAGAAGAAAGGAAAGAGGCTCTTTTAAAAAGGCAAATAAAACAGCTCATTTAAAACTATTGGAAAAGTTCCTTCCAGCAGAAAGCAGAAGACTCAAGATTGGCTCTGGAGCAGCCTTGTAAACCCACGGTAATCTTTTGGACCCGGCCTCTTGTTTTGGTTGTTAGGCCTTCAACTGTGGCTCTTCCATTACGTTGGTTTGCCAGCAACACCCAGGGCCATTGTGCTTGCGGTGCTGGCAATGCGCAGACCCATTTGTTTCCGTGTTGCTTCTTTCCGCAAGGCAGCTCTGCAGTTGTGCTTTCTAACAGCAGATGGGTCTTATTGTTTCTCATACTGGAATTAATTAACTAGGTTTTTAAAGTGACTTGCAGTGTACCTACCATCTATGCGCATATTGCATTAGCAGGTGATCTTACTTGTGACTGGATTTTCCTCTCAGCATTCTCAAACATTGCTTCTCTTTTGCCTTCAGTCCTCAGAAGTCTTCCTTTTCCATCGTGCAGCAGGCCTGAAAACCTCCAAAAGAAATATTTGTATTTGAGATGTCTGGCAGAGAGGGCTCAGTCAGAAGAACAATACTTTCGTCAGATACCAATAGTAATTCATTGTCCAGGAACAGGCACATGAAATAGCTGAATGTTTTCATTGCCAGAAAAAACACAGTCTGCTGCCCGGCCCAGACTTTGCTCAGCATAGAAAAGAGACAAGTCCTGCAGCAAGGATAAGTTCTTTAAGGAGCCCTACACTCAGCTCAGCCCTCCTGATATTACTGAAAGACATGACCGGTACATGAGAGAGGCACCCTATCAAGTAATTGATTCTTCATTCTTGTACTCTCAAAAAAGGGAGTACTTGCAAATATCTAAAAATCCAATGTTGAAATGGCAGGGGGGGGTAAAGTTATTGAAATCTATTGAAACACAATTTTAAAACCTTACTTTTAAATAAAGTCCGCTGCTTAGCTTCAGCTATAATAACATCTACTTTAATTTGCTTGTAGGTAAGCAGAGGAGGTGAGGGAACTAACTGTTCCCAGACCCCTGCAGCCATCAAAGGCTGAGTGTGCAGCAGGGGGTTAGGCTGATTTGAAAATGGTCCGGAGGGAGGGAGGATTGTGCAGTTCATTACTGGACAACCACTGCCATCAGGTGTGCAGATGCTCTTTTCGTTCACAGCAGGTGAGGTAATGCATGCAAGAGCATGTGAGCAAGTAGGGGAGAAACAACAGCAATAGAGGGAAAAGAAAGATTAATGCATTAGAAGAACCTCTCTAAGGTAAAACTCTTCGGTTTTATTCATTCAGAGATTTTTAAAAGCTGTTCTCCATATGTTTTCAGGTATTGAAGAAGGAAAAGAAAAGCCAAAATTGGACTGAACAATAGAGGCAACATGGAGGATTGTTTATGGCTCCATGGAAGATTTCTCATCCCCGACAGAGGTTGGCATGGAGAGGAATCTTTTGGAAAGGAGGAAGTTTAATGGGCCCTCCGCTCAGTGCAAGGATATATTTGGGTTTTATATGGAGGGAAAATTATTTTAGCTAAGAATAATAATAATGTTTCAACCTCCTTTCCTATTTCTCCATGCTTGCATGTGACATACACATATAAGATGTATATTTATCTCCATGGCATTCTCAACGTGTGTTTTTTGCATCAAATAAGTCATTAAATCATTAAGTCATTAAATCTTTTCACTTCCACCAAGAAGAACAATGAATCCATTCTCTGTATTGTTTGAGAAAAGCTTAACCAGATAGGTCTAATATGGGGAAAGAAAACCTATATATTTCAAAGCACAGTGTAAAAATACAGTAGAAGTTAATTGCATGAATGTATCCGAAGAATAATTCAATCTGACTGAAATATTAATGTAACACTATGTAACAGCTGCCTTAAATTGGTGATGTTAATAATTTTACCAGTCCAGTAAAATCTTACTTGCGGTGTTAGACTACCTGAATATGATACAACTTTTCTTAAATAGGCCTAAATAAAGATCAAATTATCCCCGAGTTTCTGTTTCTTCATGCTGATTCTTGAAATTCTAGATGCATTAATGGCATTTTAATAATATATTTTCAGATTTTCCAGTGTCAACTATAGATAATATTATTTCTACATGAGGATTTTTCTTCTTATTTTCCTAGTACAAGACCTGATCCTGCATTTTCAAGTTGTAAGTTCTCAATAGATGGGCTGAGCCATTAGTGTTGTACCAGAGAGAGCATTTAAGCCTTACTTCAGGAAGGCACGTAAGCAAATGTTTGAAGTTAAACATATGCCTGTTTGTATTAGGAATTCAGTTGCAAAATACTAGCTATCGTTTAAACTTGACAGGATTCTGTTTAAGTATCAGACAATCAAGAAGGAGCTCTAGTAGGCAGAAAAATTGTCTAGAATTAAAATAAAGTGAATGGAATAATTTTCAGCAAGAAATTACATATAGAGAGTAACTTTAAGATCCAAATATCTCGGTATTCACATCACATATTTATTCATTAGTGTATTTAGATGTATTTATTTTAACACATGCAGGGCACTTCAAAGATCTAGCGTGTTAATGCGTGATTTTTATTAAAGGGATTTCTGCAGAGTTTTAATATGACTTAACCATGTTTCTGCTCTTGAACAGTTCTGAGGGAAACTGATCATGTGCAACTCATGACATGCCTCCACAGTATTTTTTTAAATGTATTTATGTACACACTATCATAGGAAACAGTGCACAAGTTCAACAATGTGCTTTTTGGTTGGTTTCCTTCAAAAATAAGGCTTCTGTGATGATATTGTCTTTGTGACCGTGTCTGTCCTCTCAATAATTTTTAACTTGTTGATCAGAGTTGCAAAGATTTCAAAGCTAGGCAAGTTACTAGAAAGTTCAGGGAAGTAAGTGGCCAGATAAAGAAGAAGGAGCTCCTCTGATGGTCCCACAGTGGGAGAGGACAGGACACACAAAATTAGCAGAATTTGGAAGCAAATTAGCTGTAGCCACGTGGCCTTGCGTTAGGGATATTATGTTCTGCTGGACCTGAGCTGTGCATTACATATGTACAGTAATACTGCAACATGGTTACTCTATCCACAGATAACTAGGGCTTGACTGTAATAGGTGGTTGTTATTGGAGGTGGTAAGATGTCTGTTATTTGCAACAGGCTTTCAAAACTTTGGAAGGAAAGAAAGCATGGATTCAGTCATGTTTAGTGATCTAGGAACTGTTTAAAGTCACTGCTTCTGAAAGCTGTGGTAGCACAGGAAAGTACTGGTGGACAATGAATGTGCTAAGGAGCGTGGCTGTACTTTCCAACAGCAGCAGCAGCGGCGGTGACAGACATTGCATTGTGAGAGATTATCAGCTGCGGCTTAGGACTGGAAGCCCAAAGCACAAACCCTGTTGACTTGTTTGTCATTTGAAGAACTTGCGTAACTCATGCTCTGCTGTTAAGTCTAGGACATTTTTGCAATTTTTTTATTTCACGGGGATTGTGTCCTTCACTGAATTCAAGAATTCATTCTGATGGAAAGAATGTGTTAAATAAAAATAAGAAATGCCAAAGGGCCACACAGCTGTACACATTCTGCTAGAGCACACTCTGAACTGCTGTATTTATTGCACTGCTGAATGGCTGAGACCTCAAAAACTGGCTGTTGCTGGAAAGATTCCTCTTTCTCAGTAAGTTTTGCACCTGCTCAAGGTAAGTTTTTCTTCTGATACCATGTCATTTTAGGTGATACTGGAAACGTAGTAAGAATATAACGAGAACAGAAACGTCAGAGATCAAAATCGCATAGCTGAATCCATAGGTATGTGTCCAAGTGAAAGAAGACTCCCTTTCAGAGGTGCAGCATAGGGACACTTAAAATTGTCATCCCTTGTATCTGTGAATTTGTGAATATTCAGCACCTCAAAAAAACAGACTACCAAGCCTAGATCTCAGTTAAGCCCTTGAGGTTGGCAGTGTTAGCCAAAGGCAGTATATGTGACACAAAATGTGGTGGGTTTCATTTGGTTTGAGAAAATTTATAGTATTCCAAGAAGGTTTGAACTCAATTTGTCTTCTCAAAAAGTTCTCCACCTCCTATGAGCTTTGAATCATCGTATTTAAAGTCAAAAACATTTTAGAGCATTAAATCCAGCCTATGATGTATGAAGCATGATATAAATAACTTTGGGGCCTGTGTACCCAGAGAGCGCTCTTGTAGACTGTGTTCATTCCCCTTAGAATTACACAATCCATCATTCTTAAGAAAGATGATGGATGAAGGATGACTAAAGTAAAAGTCACTTGTAAGCTTGCCAAATTTCAACCATCTTGGCTGAAATTGTCCCTGAAAGGTATTTCTCTTGGGGGAACTATTTTTTTGGTGGAAAACCTTTTGTCAGAACAAGTCATCTGTTTCCAAGTGCAAGTCTATGAAAAAAAAGTCATGTCTGGAAAACTTTTCTGTACTTTTCTTTTGCTGTGGAGCTGGGTCTTTGGAAGAAGGATAGTGTTTATGTTAGTTAACACTTCTGAATTTATGGGGAAAATCTATTCAACTTTGTCCGAGTTTTAGAAAAAATATGCCTGCACTTCCCTGTAGGGCACAGGTAATCCTCCAAAGTGTTTATCAGCTTTGGGAATGGTCCGTCTTGTGGCTGAACAGGATTTTCCCTACTGTCCCTGATCTGTTGACCTTCTCCAGGCCTGACTACCCAAGACACACACCAGAATGGGGACCCCGACTTTGGTTCCCATGTGTTGTCAGTACATCCCAAAGCTGATGCAAATAAAGCTGCCTAGGCCAAATAGGAAGGAAGCAAAGCTTTGATGAAAACCTGAGCAATGAGGATAGGTTCTAGATGGATAAACTAAGTGAAAAAACTCTAGCTTTTCCCTTTAGGACTGCAGTAAAATTAAATTAGTAATGTTGTCATAGCTGTAATGATAAACCACATAGAAAACTCTGCAAAGGAATCATTAGTTTTGTTGTCAGAGAAGGATATAGCATGCAGTAAATAAGGGAGGCTGCCACACCTTGAACCACAAGGAAAAAACAAAATACAGTTTCATCATTCAGTGAGCACCATCCATCATGCGTTATGAATGAGGCATAGGAAAAAATATTGTGTGATCATCTAATTAAAGGCAGTATCATAATTCATACTCACAAGGGGCCAAATTAAGGTTGAACAGACGGCCTTAATTCTGACATTACCTCATTCTTGAATGCCTGACTTAGCAATCTTAATAATACTCTCTTGACTTGGTATAGAACACAAAAAAGGAGGGATTTTTTTTTTAAGGCTGGCTAGAAAGTCTAGCCACAGAGTTGACATGGATTTCAGTATGATTGTATCCCCTATTTGGCTTTAGAAAACTCATCCTCACTTTCTGCATGCATTTAGCTACGCCAAAACATATATGCATAGTTCCCATACCACTCGCTTACGAAGAGGTTGCTGTAATTTGCAAACTTCTGCCACAATTTCAAAATGAAATTATTTTAGTCTGTGATTTAGCTTGTGTGTGATAAAACCATAGTTTGCTGTCTCTCTGTAGCAACCACTGCCTTATTTTAAAGGAAAATCACAAATATTTTCCCTAATTTTAAGTTGATTTTTTCTTCTCTGCCTACGTGAGTAATATTAGCTACATTACCACCAATACATGTCAAAGCCACTTGGACGCTGAGTAGACTGAAAAATGGCTAACCATTCCGCAGGCTTCCACGTGGCAGTTTGTAGTGACAGTGTACAAGGCACACGCTTCTTAGTTCATTTTTCCTATTGAATTCACTATTCAAGGACTATTTCAAATCCTAACAACAGTTTCTTCTTTGCCTTTTATTTTCTATGAGGATTGGTCAGTCTACAGGGCTCTGATACACACTTTGGTAGCCTCGGATACTGTTAGACTGAACACTGAAAGGATTTATAATCTGAAACTTGAGTTAAAGTATAGTCCTGAAGAGACCATCAGCCTGAGTTTAGCATCAGTGAGGTAGGTTTGGTGTTCCTGCCCTGGGAGTAAAGGAGCGAGCAGTAGGAGATAATGTAGGTGAGGTCGCCTCCGAGACCTGGAGAAGTTATGCTACTAATCCTGTCTTTCAATGCTCCTGTGTTTCATGTGAACAGGGACAAGTGCTGGTGACAGGTATTTTACATCTGCAGCAGCAAAAGAAAGCTCCTAATCAAAGCGTAATGCATACTAGTAGAAGAGGTCATCTCCACTAGGGTGTCCCAGCTGCTCTGCTCTGCTCCTGTGGTTCAAAGCTTCACATGCTGCTGTAGCCAGCTGCTTAAACTGGGGTCACAGGTGTTGCAGAGAAGGAAAGAAACCTGGGAGTTTTCTTATATATTTGAGCCATTATGTTTGGCCCAGCATGTTCGTATGTGTTGTAAAAGCGCAGGTGTCTTCAGTGTGTCTGACTGCAGTATTAAACCTGGGGTTTGACTATTGCAGAAGTCCCAGGAAAAAAAAGCAGCTGCAGGTTTGACTGGTCAACTTTCTACAGTGGCAATGATCTCCTCTTTTTGAGGCAAGAGGAGCAAAGGGGAAATGAAATTAGCCTGGGAAGTAAAAAGATCTAGCTGTTGACATCTGTTTAGAACAGCACATGCTGAACTCAAAGCACACGCACAGGTGCTTTTCAGCACAGGGGCTTTGCTGAATGAGGGGGCAAGCCAACTTGTAGGTGGGACGCTTTCTGTAGTGCTACTAATGAAAGAGCTTTCTGTGCTTAGAGTGAAAGTAGGTCTTTTGCACATAGTGTCTTGCTCTTGTATTATTAAGTAACTCTAAGACGAACAGAACTGTCCAATTTGCAGACCATAAACATCAAATATATTTAATGTATATTCTCCAAAATAAGCAATTTTATTTTTATCAAAAAGGCACTCTGTTTTGTTCAAGTAACAGATGGAAATCAATGGATTTTAATGTAGCCCAGAAGAGCAAGTTGTAGTCTTATTCCCTTAAGTGCCCTTTTCTTGTTCAGACCACAGCTGTAAAGGGACTTGACCCTCAAC